CTAAGTAACTGGTGCTAGAATTATCGTTTACAAGTGAGGAAACTAAGTCTGATAATTGAAGTTATTTTCAAATACCACACAGATATTAGCAGAATTGCAGTTCAAACCCTTTGGGCTTTGGGCTCTAGTTCCAGTACTGCATGTCCAAGTGTCTCTACATGTATAAGTGTCTGTATTCTCTGTTGTCTGTCCTCTATTGTAGATAGAACACATACATTTTAATTCAAGAAGTTAAAAAAGAAAATGTTCATGTAGCAGAATTGTTTAATATTCAACACTTTTACTTTAACAAATCAACCAACTCTGAAAAACCATCAGTTATTTAAAGAGCATAAAGTCATTTTACTATCAAATGTTCCTTACTGTGTATGATATTAGCTTCCACTGAATAGTTTTCTGAGATGAAAACAGTAGGATTCATCAGTGAGATTAGTCCCTTAGAAACTACAGTTGTTCCATAAAGTTAATAAAAGCCAAAAGTTGTCTTGAGTAAATTTACTGACTACATATATCACAAATATAATACCTTATTGTTTCTATTTTCACAGTACAGTATGAGGCAGTTTAGGAGACTTCTTACCCTGAAGTACTATGTGACTTATCCTTGCTAACAACAGAAAATTCTCAGTGCTACTACAAGCAATTGCTAGAAGCTTACTGCTGGATATGTGAGAACTTTATGCGGAAAACAAGAAGAGATTAATTTTCTATTTCATGTAGAGTGATTAGTCAGTGAATTATTACTAAAGTGACTTGGGATACAAAATACAGCCCTGACAAATGCACCACACCACACTAACACCCCCAACTCTGTGTTTTTAAGTAGAAAGACTCATGTAAACTGTCAGCACATATGTGTATAACTAGGCTTAAAATAATGTTACTTTGTATACTGTTTTTTCACACAATTTATGTTTGCAAGTCCAAATTTTTATTTTAAATCAGATTCACATGGTCAATTTTTAAACCTAATGGAAATTCTCTATCATTATGAGTTTCCAAGTTGTGCAAACATTGCCATAGAAGCATTAATAGGAAGCAAATTGTTGATCAGAGTGAAAAATAAGATTCCGTTTATTGACACCTACAGAAAAAAGACTGAGGAAGGTCCATACTACAAACTTTCCCATAGCTAGAAAGTTCATGTTTTCAGTCTTTTTTGTTAGCAATGACTTTTTCCCTTTGTTTTATTGAGACAGAACCTTGTTAGATAGCACAAGATAAATTTGAATTCACAATCCTCCTATCTCACCACACACAAGAGTGTTATAGGAGTGCGCCTCCACTCTCATCTAGAAGTGACCGTAGAGATAAATTGACAGGGTCTGGTTTTTCTTTCCTTCATATTTACATGTGTTTATGGCTCTTCCTTTCTCTAAAGTCATAACCAATTCCTTTTTGTGATATCAAAGAAAGGCAGTGGCCAGGTCTCGTTAGAAATCTGTGTAACCTCTGTGCCACTGCCAGAAAACTTCCATGTAGTATGCATGCGGGCTCCAGTTCATGGAAAGGGAGATATGAAGAACAGTAGCTATTCATTGAAGTTGCTTTCTGTAGGATCAAAGCCATACCTTTAAGGTGAGAATTCAAAACTCTCTAGGTGCAGTCTCCTACACATATTCTCAGATGTTGACTCCTAACACTGTCCCATGAATTCACTTTGAATTCAGTCTCTGCCTGGGGTCTCTACTCATCTCTATACTCTAAAGCCCCCATCATCTCCTCCCCCCCTTTCTTGTTTTCATGAATTCCTCTTTCCTAAAGAATAAAATTATGAAAATACCCTCCTGGAAGCTATATCCAAAAACAAACCCACTCTAAATTCAAGCTGGAGCAAGATAATTGCAGAATGAAATAACAAATATAAAATCAGTGCTCTGAGAATTTGTTAAGAATCACTACAAGTCCATATCAAACTATTGTGCATAAAGCTGTAGTCAGGTCTGCTTGTAACATGCCAGTAACCCCCAGTACTGGTAAGACTGAGGCAAGAGGACTGATTTCACTTTGAAACCAGCCTGAGCTATGCAGTAATTCAAGGCCAGTCTGGAATGTATAGCCAGATACTGTTTGCCTCAAAAAAATAGGGCCAGAGAGCTGGCTCAGTGGGTAAAGCATTTGACTCACAAATCTGGTATCTTGAACCCAATCCCCAGAACCCACTCAAAAACAGAAGGAAAAACAAAGTTGTTCTCTGATAGCCATACACACTGTAGCATGCATGCTCCCCACAATAAATAATAATAATGGTTTTTAACTTTAAAAAGTAATAAAATAATAAATTGGAATTGTTTGGTAAAAGCTTTTGCTATGAATAAAAAGAAAAACCAGAAGACTTGAAGGTAGAAGAGAAACTGTTAGGGGCTAAGAAGAGATGGAGACAGGAGCAGGGGGAGCAGACAAAATCTGTAGCTGACACTTACATGGAAGGAGATGTCACTGTGAAGCCTGCCCATCTGCATAATCAGTGTGCTAATAAAAAATAATAAAAGAAAATTATTTCCAAGAAGGGAATTCTGTGTTTAGTTTGGGTTGACAAAAAGCAGCTGTTAGAGTGAATGTAGGCAGAATGTGCTGGCAACAGTCCCAGGAAATGTGTTATCAAGTATTCAAGATCTCCACTGGACTCAGTCTCAGGGGGATGCTTCAAGGACATAAAACTCTCCAGAGTTGTAGACAAGGCAAATGAAAGAGGAGACTCACTCCTGCTCCACAGTGACTGAGAACTGCCCCTAGAGTACTCTGAGGCCCTAGCTGAAGACACAGTCTTGCAGGGGACTTTGTTGGACTCAATGTGCAGAAAGCCACAGGCTGGGAGTCAGGGTAGAGATGCAGTAAAACAACCAAAATGAATAAATATGTTTTCCACAGAAGATGAAAATTAAAATCTGACTATCATTGATCATTTAAATTATCAATCATGGTATTAATAAGAAGTAAATTATTACATTACCAAGTTTACAAAAGTGATTTAAAAAAGCCAGCAGCAACAACAACAAAAACCTAATGAAACCAAGTGTCAAGAAGAACACAAAGGGACAGGAGAAATGGCTTGGCGTTAAGAGCATAAGCTGTTCTTGCAGAGGACCTGGATTCTGTTATTGGCACCTAGTCTTTCACTCTGATTTTCGGGGACCAGACGCCCCCTTCTGGTCTCTTCAGGCACTGTATTCACCTGGTGCACATACATATGTCGGCAAAACACCCACATGTATGAAATAAAGAAAAGAGGGATACAAAAAAGGAAGCTCCTATACAGATGCTTTGAGCTATAAAAGGATGGAGCTATGAATAAAATTTGGCTATCCCTAGTAAAATTGAGCTTGCATTCCCTACAACTCAATAATATTGTTTTCGGGAACAGCATTTATGCAAACTCTAGTAAAGGAGCATTGGGATATGTGTTCAAATGACTTCACAGAAGCAACATTTGTGACCACAAAGGTAAAACCTGGAAATAGCTATCATTCATTTACAGGAAAATGCTAAATAATCTGTGCTATGTCTATATAATGATAGGATTTTCTAAGACATTTACCGTCCAAGTGAATGAATCTGAAGAGTATAAAGTTGTTTTTCAAAAAGCCTCAGAAAAAAATATAAACAGTGTGATTTGATGTATATAACATGCAAACACAACAAACAGGTTTCTTTTTAGGGAGCTAAATAGCTACACAGTAAAAGTCTTAAAAAAATAGAGCAATGAACATCTAAGAGTTTGTAAGATAGGCCAGGAATTGCCACATGCTTCGGCACGTGGGAGGCAGAGGCAGGTAGGTCTCTGAGTTCAAGGCCAGCCTGGTCTACAGAGAGAGTTCCAGGACAGCCAGGGCTACACAGTAGAGAGACAAACTAGAAGGTGGTCATGGGTGGCATCCACAGTACTAGCTCTGTTTCTTCACTGTGTATGAACACTTGTTCTTTTACATAGAGAAAACATTTCATAAGAAAGTTTGAGCAGAAGGGGAGAGATGATGAGGGGAACACCCATGTTGTATTCCAGAAGTGATGTGAGGAGGCTGCAATAGAAGCTAAAGGAAGGTCTGTCAGTGATGACAGTAGTTGGTAAGCAGCTTGGGACTCAGAGTGAAGGGCAGAGGAAATCTGAAGACTGCAGGCCAGAAACACTGGAGCAGTCACCACAGGGGAGAAGATTACAAAGTGAGGAAAAGTCAACTTAGAAATATTTTATAGAAGAATGAAACCCAGATTAGACTATAGATAAAGATAGTAAAGTGTTAAAATAGAAATAAAGTTATAAGAAAAATCCAATATTGTTCCAAGGAAAAGTCTCCTGGAGAATATTTCAATTAAACAAAAAGGGGAAAGATTTAATGTTTCAAATGATTATTTCATTTAACTTCTAAAATTCTACCAAGGTTGTTCTTACTTTTCAATGTCACTTACAGCCATTATGATTCTATTCAAATATCTTCCGAATGTCTTTGTCATCTTTAATTAACAGGTCTTAAACCAACTTTTCATCTATATATACATATTAAGCTGGCATTGAAGAAGCTATTGGAGTTGGAGTCAGTTTAGCCCATTTTCACATGGGGCAGGCTTCGCCATCATGGTGATAAACTGTAGGGAAATGTTAATGACTGATGCCATTGAGAAGTCTTCGCCTGACTTGATGTGACTATTCTAGTAGGAAAGGCCTGTTCATCTCAAAGTCACATGGTCATTGGGCTTGAGATTTACATACGAATGTCTTGGCCAGTGCAGAAGGTGCAGCCAACAGTATGAGATTCCAGCTCTCAATGACATCAGTGTCAGCTCAGAGAGCAGCATGGAGGGGAGAAGGGATCATTTATTTTAACAACAGACAAAATTTGTAAAACTTCCAGCTGTAATTGTATGTCCAATAAATTCTCCCATTACTCACACCAAAGGAGAGTTTAAAGACATATTTCATTTCTCTTTCTCCTTCTCTAAGATATTTTTGCTGTTTCTATAGCAACATTGATGCAGTGACCAAAACTCTAACTCCCTTTTAGACTACCCGATGGCTTCACGCAGCTTCTTAACCTGACCCAGCTCTACCTGAATGATGCCTTCCTTGAATTTCTTCCAGCTAATTTTGGAAGGTAAGCATAAGAGATATAACCTGTGTAATCTCATTTTGCCTCTGCTAAGTGTTTTACCAGTACCAGGATGTGCACAGCAGTGCTGGTTAAAGTTGGGTCTCATTAGTACACAATAAATGTTAATTAAATATTCTATAATAATTAACATAAAATGATGTGATGTCTTCACATATCATAAAAAATTAGGTGAATTAAAATTAAACATAAAAAAAGAAAGTCCAGATAATATGAACAAATGCAGGAGGAGGCTGTTCGTGGCTCTTGGACAAAATTCCTTTATAGGCAGGAAGCAAAGTACAGCATTATAAATATGTAGACAGACTTTGCTTCTCATCTAAATGCTTTTCAGATGGAATAAATCAAAAAAACATAAAATAGAAAATATTTCATTATATAAAAAAGCAAATAACATCCTTAATATATAAAGAGTCCTTACAAATGAGCATGAAAACCATGATACTGGGAAGTATGTGGGTAACTGCACAGGCAGCTTATGATAAAATGGAAATAGATAGTGAATACGGGAGAAATGTTTATCTCCATAAATATTTGATACAGTGAAAATTAAACCAAAGATTTTACTTGTCCTAGCTTCTGAAACCAACTTACATAATTGAGGGTAATAATATATGCTTAAAGAATTTCAAAAATAGTTATGACCATTGCCTTTTAAATTTATTACTGGAAATGTCTCATGCCATCATTGGATTTTGTAGACAGTATATTTTTTTACTATTTTCAAAATGAAAACTATGAAATCACATAGGAGTTTGGCTAGCTCTACTGTGGTGCTCATATGTGGCAGTGTTGTGCAGAAATTGATAGTCTTGGAAAGCATTTACTAACCCTAGATAAGGCTAGGAAGGTGTCATAGAAAATGTATAAACTGTTTTTCCAATATAAATGCATGAAATAAAAGAATAAAATTCTGGATGACTTTGATTTTTATTCGTATTTGTTTCAGTATCTTCCAAGAGTATTTGCTTTTATAACATATGTGTCACAAACACCAAAGACATTCTAGCATCATTGTCAGCTTTGGTTGATCATTTTGAAACTGTGAAAATGGCTAAGTGGGTGTAATTCAGCACCTGCCTCTTGACAGGGATGAGTAGGACATTAATTGGGGTGATGAAGTCTCCTAACACAGTGAGTGATCTCCCTTTCACACTGTAAATGCAGGAACATGACTCTTTCACTTGAAGGTATCACATCATCCTGAACCATACACACAAAGGAAATTTTTTAAGTCATGGATTTGTAAAAGAGTGTTTCCCCATCTACCCTTATAAACTAAAATTATCCTTCGGGTATATCAAGTACATTACAATGAACTTTAAAATGAACAAGTCAAAAAATATTTGATTCCCTAAGACACATTTTGTTTGGATTTTCTTGTTTTTTGTCATTTTTCCTTAAGTAGTCCTAAAATGAGTATGAGGTTTAGACCTAGAGGACACATAATACCAATACAAAAGCTACTTTGAATTAGAATTTAAGTTTTTTCATAAGATGTCAAAATTTGCTCTGTTTAATAACATAATGTTTATTTATAATAAATAATTCATAATCTAAGCAGTTTTTCCACCTTCAGATAGGTGGTTTGACAAAAGAATGCTCAAATTCTCTTCCAGCCCCAAACTTTGTACCCTTAAAAGACTGAATACATTCATATCATCATGCAAGCACAGCTGGGGTGTGAGGATTCAGATTGCTAAGGAGCTCTCACTAGTGGAGCGTTTGTGCACTGAAGCATGTAATTTCATAAAGAATTGAATTAAATTAAAAGTTAAATTGAGAACTTGAGAGGAGGAAAAGGAAAGAGGCTTAGATAAATACCTAAAAGTGTATTAAAGATAGATGACAAGTGAAGTTGTTTAATTAGTGAGATTTTTTTCCTTAAAAATTAAGATTTTGGAAAATCCAATTAGTATTTGTTTTACGGTAACTTGTAGGAAACAAACACAAGATTCAGTCTAGTTGTGTATAACAGTGTGTTCCTGAAAGCAACTCACATGTCATCATGTGTGAGGTTCCCTTCTGGAGCACAGTGGTAACCCAAGCAGCAAAAGGGTGAAAACAGTATCCTCCGCTCAACACTCACAGACAGAAGACCCTTGGGTTCCCAAGTACAAACCCTTTTGGAAATGCTAAAGTGTCAATAAACATAACACACAGAAGTGATCCCATTGTGCCTTTAGTAAGATCAGAAAGAACAAACAGTGACCACAACTTCTGGTGTGAGGAATTATGTGTTATATGCATGACGTCATTTAAAATATTCAACCCAAGGATTTAATGCTATTGATGAGGAAACTAAAGTTAGAAGGGCAATGGAGTTGATTAACATGAATAACATAGAGACAGAATGTATTCTCATCTTTCTTCACACTAAGCTGAAGGCTCTTTCCTCTGGAATATTCTGTCTGCCTTTCAGGTCTGTCGATGAAAAACATTGCTATATCCCAATGAACATAACACCTGAAATTTAAAAGATAGTCAATAACCTGTTCAATTAACATATTTATTAAATATAAAAGTGAATGTACTTTTATGGAACATTAGAAACTTAGAAGGCTGGGATTCAAAGATATAACAAATATCTTTGGTTTTAGTAAAATGTTTTACGTTGGCCAGTGGTGATGCAACCCTGCTCATCATCAGTTCGCATATTTCTTTAAAATCTAGCACAGACACATACATGGTGTACAGGCACACATGCAAGCAAAATACCCATACACATTAAAAAAATAAATAAAAAGATATCTGATTCAATACTAAAAACAGCTGAATATTTCTGTCTAATTAGTGTTAGTGATTGTTCACCTTGCCATGTGAATGTTTTTTATATAGAAATAGTGGTTTTAAAAAGTAATTTTAAAAACTCTTTTCTATAGACTTGTCAAATTGAGGATCTTGGAGTTAAGAGAAAATCACTTGAAAACTCTACCAAAGTAAGTGACTACACCTTTTCCAAAGTTTCCGTTGTGATTTTTCACTACCAGGAAAAATGGCTTCTCACTTTTATTCTGGCAGCTTTGCCATTTTTACTGAATTGTTCTACACATTTACTAAAGGTCAAATTCTACAGTAAACTGTGTAGATTTATATGAAATAGTAGACTTGCTGCTTTGTAAACCTGCTCACTGGTAAAGGTCTTGCTCATGGCTGAAGAGCCTTGCCAAGAACTTAAACCAGCATCTGTCATTTCCACAACAGTTTCCCAAGCTTCGGCCTAGGGTGCTTCACTCTGCAGGTTAAACTGTGGGTTGTGATAGTTTAGTCTTACATCAAAGCTGGAGACTTTTAAGGGAAAAAAAGATTAAAATTTTTTCAAAAGATTCTAAAGTGGTTCAACAAGTAAAAAAGAAAGGGTTATATTTGCATATTCTTACAAACTGTTCCTTTTTGCCCATTTTTTTTGAAAGACGGTATATATAAATATACAGGACATTTTAAAGCCAAAGCGTATTTTATGCAGCTTTGTAAAATACTGCTCCCCCCTGCTTTCCTTCATTCATGTATAGTAATAGGGTTTGTGTTGTATAAGAATAATTGCATTTCAATATCAAAATGTATTTGTAATATTTTTTCACTTGCGTAAAGTGATATGCTTTGTTTGTATACCGTGTTAGTATTTATTGCTTTCCTTCCATTCTACAAGACATCAAGTATATCAGTTTATTTCCAAACTTTCAACAAAGCTTAGACATATTCCTCTGCTGAACTAAAACTTACTCTTAATTTTTCCTTTTTAAAATTATTCCCTAAGCGAATACATATACTGATAAATTAACTTAAGTGCAATTATGTGTGATGCAATGCATGAACATTTCATCACTGATATGCAGTGCATGGATCTGATGAGGAGTCCCAGCCATGCTCTGGAATCTGCTTAGACAGACACAAAACCATGTGTGTGATTTTCCCCATGTGGCAGTTAAGACGAATGCTTCAAAAGGAGGAATGTGCTCCATACTGCAGCATCCTGTGTGTAAGTAATGCCTTCCCTAGACTGGAATCCTAGACAGGTAGAAATGAGGTGCTGTGTGCCCAAGTGTTGGTCTCCTGCACAGAAAGCTATTGCTACTGTTTCATATGGACAGCTTTTGATTGTTGCTTTGAAAGCAAAAACACAGCTAGGTGGAACACAAACCAAGATGGAAGAGGAGTCATTGCTTACATCTGATTGTACATATTCAGTTCTAGGATAAAACACTGAGTGTGCAGAGAAGTTGCAATGACCTCATATAAGGGCTCCAGTTTAAAATATAAAATAAATTTGATACAGATTGTAAGTATTTTAGCATTTTTGATATAAGTTGTAATATGTAAGCTATAATCTAATATAAAGTATGGACTTTGTAGGCAATGAGTAACAGTACTCTTAATTGATGTGTGGGTGTTCTGTAGGCTTTCAGAATGCTGCCTAGTAGTAAATAAAATTAAATTAGGTTGAACAATATGTCTGGACTGTTTGGAAATGTAAAACTTCAAAGTTTCTTAGAGAAGGACACTGGGTGTCTTTGGTAGACTGCTGTGTATGTCACAGCTATAACTTTTATATTTAAAAAACATTTTCAGAGGTATTTGCAATTCAAAATGTGTTATATGCTATGTCAACAAGAATCTAAGAAGCAAAATAGAGACAGAGAATTCATGGTGCTTTGCTTTAGTTTTGACATCTATGGAATGAAAACTGCATAAAGACGTCTGTTAAATAAAATAAACTGTTTCCACGCATAGCCTACTACTTGATCACCATCTATCTGGACCTGTAACTTAGAGGTACATGAGAGCTTTGTACATTCCTTTAGTCTGTTTTTCCAATAAAAAAATTGAATGTAGTTTTCAGAAAAACAATTTTAGTTTCAAAATAAGTGCTTGAGAATTGAGAGCTTATGGTTTTCTTGGCATTACATGCAAAGTGCTGACCATTTATGGGTCTTTAAATTTTTCATGTCTTATTATGTCTTAAAGGCTACAAATGCCTGGCAATCTATAGGAAAAGCCAAAGTATATAAGAACTGTAATATATTAAAGGTTAGAATGCACTCCTGTAACAATGTGATGGGCTTTCTGTGTGCAGAATCTAGGATCTGTGTCTTGGTTTAAAGCACAGGTGTAAGCTGTCCATCTCCTTGTGATGTCCCTGTGGCTATCCTGTAGGTGAATCAAAAAGGGGTAAGAGTTAAGCCTTCAAACATGTGCTTAAAAACTCACTGAAGCAATCAGGTCAGCGCTGGACGTGGTAACAGAGGACAGCAAACAACTTGAGATTCAACAATACCATTTTTCTTACAACACAAATAATTATCTGCTTAACTGAGTGTTCTGAGTGTTGATCAAAAAGTGTGGGACTAGTCATTCAAATGGATATTAGATGTGAAGGGAAACTGCCTTTGTTTGTTTCATTTCATTTATGGATAGTTACCTGTCTATTCCATCCTTTCATCCTTTGTTTCTGTTATAAGAGCAACAGGGTGTCAAAATTGAAAGAGCAGCTTCTGGATCCTTTAGGGCATCTCAGAATGTGAGAGCCCAACTGTTGGCTGGACTGCAGCTGCTCAGAGCCCTCTCTGTCTGGGATCTGCATCTGTGCTCTCTAGGGTGCTTGGCAAGTGTGTTTCTGCCTGGCTGTGGGTGAAGGGGTTGGGTCTTAGGCATATAAATCTACTCTCAAGTTGCAGTTAGCTTCTCTCAGAACTTAGGGGGGAGGGATAGAAGAAAGAGGCAGGGGAAGCCTTGATGTTTTTATAATTTGATCTCAAAAGTGATATGCCATGATTTCTATCACATGCTGCTGGTCTCCGAGTTTTGGTACCCTGGAGTATGCAGAAGACATGAGTGACTCCAAGAGATGGGATGACCAGTGGCCACTGCAGAAATATGTGCTATTCAGCTTGACTGGCCTGCAGCTCAGTTATGACAGTGCATCCTCGGCATAGGATATAGAAAGCTAACTCACAGAGAACATGTCGCGTCCACCTCGACCAGCAAGGAAGACGCAACGCCAGGCTCTTCTCCAAGCAGTTTATTCAGGAACCTTGAACAATCTTCTGACCCCGGGGAAAGCCATCTTCTTCTTCTCTCTCACTCTCACTCTCACTCTCACTCACTCTCACTCTCACTCTCACTCTCACTCTCACTCTCACTCTCACTCTCACTCTCACTCTCACTCTCTCTCTCTCTCTCTCTCTCTCTCTCTCTCTCTCTCTCTCTCTCTCTCTCTCTCTCTCTCTCTCTCTCTCTCACTCTGATCTCCTATCTCCTCCGATCTTCTTCTTGGGGAAAGCCAGCCCACGCCCTTTATAGCCACTGGGCAATCAACCCCGTAGTGCCACGTGGACAATGCCGATAGGGTCAGACATACGCAAGCAAGCCAGATTAGGTCCAGGTGTGCGGAAGCAAGCCAGATCCTAGCCTTAGCCAAATAAGGAGCACCTGCCATCGGGAAGGCAGAAGCCGGACGCCGGCGCCATCTTTGAGGCGCGGCCGTGCACGGCCTCTCTACAAGAACATGCTGGGATCTTTAGTCAGGAACAAAGTTTCTGTCTTCTAGAGCTCACAACCTATTTGTGTGTCTATCTGAGAACCATGCCACTGCTGCTTCTGCATCAGAGATTTCCTCAGGCCAGTCCTGCTTGGCTGATCACCCCATGGACAGTGCTGTTCTTCAGCATCTTCCCCTCGCATCACATGAAACCACCCTAATTTGCAGATCATCTCACTCTGCCCTTTGAAGTTCTTCTTATGATTTGACCCCTCACTTACTTGTAAATGAGATCATCAGAAGATGTAAGTGACACTGAGGAAAAGACTGAGTTTCTGTTTTTCTCCCCTTTTGTCGCTGTTGATTTTTTTTTTCCTTCCTGCATCATGGTGGACAACTGTAAACAAGCAGGAGTCTGACTTAATGAATCACACTGGGGACACTGACATACGGACTGAATATTGGTGTCTCCTGACTGTTTCCATATGGAAAATTATATAGGAATCTGATGACATCAAATGAGTCTCCCTGAGCCATGCAAATCCAGAAGTAAGCCTGTGAACAGCTCTAAAATGGAAAGACCAATGAACATGGTAGGTAAGAAGCCTTAGAGGTCATTGAAAGAAGGGACTTAAAGTGGCAGAGGCATCCAACACAGAACCATATCTTCTGGGTAATGGACTCTGCAGAGAACCTGAAAGGGGCTGTAGAATCTGTATGATCTTAATTATAAACTTTGTTTTGTTTTGTTTGTTTGTTTTTATTAAGACATTTTCTATTCATTTTATATATCAACCACAGATATATAAATCTGTCCTCCCCTGTCCTCCCTCCTCCCACCCCTCAGCCTTCCCACCCAACCCACCCCCAATTCCCACCTCCTCCAAGGCAAGGTCTCCCATTGGGAGTCAGCAGAGCCCGGTACACCCCGTTGATGCAAGTCCAAGCCCCTCCTCCCTGCACCAAGGCTGTGCAAAGTGTCTCACCATAGGCACCAGGCTCCAAAAAGCCAGCTCATGCACCCCAGGGACAGGTCCTGGTCTCACTGCCTGGGCCCCCCCAAAACAGTTCAAGCCAAACAACGGTCTCGCTTATCCAGATGGCCTAGTCCAGTACCATGGGGGCTCCTCAGCTATTGGTCCACAGTTCATGTGTCTCCTCTAGTTTGGCTAGTTGTCTCTGTACTCTTTCCAATCATGGTCTCGATAACTCTTGCTCATAGAATCTCTCCTCTCTCTTTTCGATTTGACTCCTAGAACTCTGCCTGGGACCCAGCTGAGATCTCTGCATCTGCTTCCATCAGTCACTGGATGAGGGTTCTATGATGACAGTTAGGGTATTCAGCCATCCAATCACCAGAGTAGGTCAGCTCAGGCACTCTCTCGACCATTGCCAGTAGTCTATAGTGGAGGTAACTTTGTGGATTTCTGGGGACCTCCCTAGTACTCTGCTTCTCCCTAT